ATAATAGCGCGTTCGTTCCCCACCATAGACACCTGCGGTCCAGAGTTTTGCAAATATCTCAGCAACGTTGTGGTTGCATTCCGAAATAGTTTCACCTTTCCACTAGTTCAACGTCTTCACGACTTTCCTGCCCCAGGAAGTTATTTGCATAAAAAAGTTCTTGCCATTTAGAAAAAGCTCCCTTTCACTAGCTGAAATATTATGAGAGGATTATTCTGGAAAAAAAACTGTGCATTGGTGGCTCTACTTCTAGGAATTAAGCTTTCGCAAGATCGTTTATCAGACCCAGCAACGCTTGAGCAGCTAGATAGTCAAGGTTAACGGCATTCGACACAGTATACATTACTATTTCGGTGCAGGGGAGGGAAAGTCAACATTATGGAAGAGATGAATTGTCTCCTCAAAAACATTACAGTGAAAGACACAGAGGTAAAAAACCTCCCTGAACCTCCAGGCGAAGGTTATGCTTAGAACGCACCTTGATCGAATGATTCAGTGTCCAACCCCTCTAAAGCGAATTGATGCGCGAAACTATCCCGAACCTTTGGCATCGGAAACTCAGAGTCCACTCTGAAAAGGGAAAATCCTACTGAGCTAACAGTTGTTGACAACAAAAGTGAAATGGTGAATTTACCGAATCGGTGCCTTAGTATGATAAAATAAAGGTGGTAAAACAATGCGGAAGTGAACATGAAGTTTAAAAAATAAGACCAAATCAAAAAGAACAGGAACAGCAAACCAGAAAAAACTATGGCTTGAATTACAATGTTCACTACTGCAGAGATACTTTGCACTTCGCTACGCCTTGACTGTTACTGGAATTCAAACATCTGCAAATGAATTCCCGCTTTGTGCAGATCATGAATCTTGGAATTTTAGTTCGTGATTTCATGGGGAGAATGATATATACTGTCTCGCTATTGACACATCGATAGTTCTCGCCTTTTGAAACCCTGTGTATTGATACAAATGCATACGTCAAGTAAATTAGACTATTCGTGTAAATGCAATTTCGATGATCCATATTGTGCTGCACAGAGTTCTTGTAACAATTTTTTTTGCGTCCAACAGTAGTTCGTCGTTCGTGGACACAAGAGCTGGTACGTATTGAAGGCTGTGTACACCAAGCATAGGTGGGAAAGCATCAATGCTTCAAGAAAGTATTGATAATTGACACTGAAAGGTTAGTCTATGCCTTTTCCAATTCTCAGTGTTCCTTTTCTCAATGCGTTCCGTGTTTACGAACAAATCTCACCCACCGTTTCATTGCCGCCATTTGGGGTCGTGTCGGGAATTTTTCGAACACTCGCAAACGCCATGGCAGTGTTGATCGCATTGAGGTGGTCTGCAGATTTCATTTCTCAGTTTTTCCACTGCTTCCATAGGAAGAGAAATTCATAAAAATCACGAACCGCTTCTCTGGCTTTTAGCTGTTTGACTTTTTTCAGCTCCTCATCCATTTCCAGGTTGTCAAGAATGACGGCAACAAACAGACTAAGCACGATCTTTAAAAAAACGGCCTTTCAAAACATATTTCTCCACTTTGTTCATGTTCATAATTTTATCTCAGAAAATGCGATACAACAATGGTAAAGCACAGTTTCTCCAAATTTTAGCCTGGAATTCTCATATTCTCAAAATCTTCACTCTCTCATGAATCGAGAGCTACGTCTTTCAGTGATGAATCGAGGAAGAAACTATCTTCCTCTCGGCTGAGTTCTTGTTTTTTGTGGAATCAAATTCTAGTAGAGGGTGATCTTCAAAAAATCAGCAGGACCGGAAAAATTCTTCGTTACTACCCTTACCACCGTTGCTTTCATATCACCTACATATCAACACTTATTGTCGCTGTAGATAAAAGCGCTGTATAAAAAAACCAAGTGTCGATAATAGAATTCAATTTTCATTACAATTTTCACTTCTTCATTTGTTCTTTCTGTGTCCTACTTTTTTTGTTTTCAATTGATGCGTACCAATGTGACGAATAGATGGTAGGCGACGAAGTAGATGGCGACGAATGGGACGAGTTTGTCGTCGGTTGCCCTCAGCACCTCGACAACAAAATCTGTCCATCCCTCCTGTGTAATTATTTGGAACATCGACATAAACGCCTGGAATTTGCTTCCTTTCTCTGTTGTTTATTTCCAAGATGTTTTCCGGAAGGGTGATGACAAATGAGCCAATGAGGCAAAATCACCTGAGGAAAAGTGTGGAAATGATGGAGGTTCGGCACTGCATAGAATAACTGCAGTGATATGGCTGATGCGATAATCACAAACGTTATAGTGAAAATCACCAATCCGCCAAGTTTTTTGCCAGGACTGAAGATCTGGAAGGCATGAAAATGTTCATGAACTATGCTACTTGTATAAAGTTGTCTCCAACAAGGCAATTAAATAAAAAGCTAGAAAAGTTGTCGGCGTTGATCAATCCCTGAGGAGTGCGCAATGCATTTTAGTTCATTAAGCGTCGTTTGGAAGTGATTGAATGCATATCTGGCCTTCACAATGACTCGCGGTGTCCTACTGATGTATCGAGCCAGTGCTGCTATCCTCCAAGACAAATCTGGTACCAATTTGTCGACCCCGGAGGGATGGAAGGCTTGGTGAGCCATGCGCTTTGGTGGGATCGATTCCACGTGTGTATTGCAGGGCGCCTCCGACCACTGCGACACATGCGCCTTTGAACTTAAATAGGCAGTCGGTAAATATAAAAGGTAAACAATAGTTTCTGTAAAATATGAAAATGTCATAGGACAAGCTGTTCACTGGAGAGTGAAATCGCATCCTTTCTTTTTCGATAATGGCAACCGTCACCTTCCAGACAAAATCTTCAAGTATTGGTGACGCCTTAATAAGTCTAAGGAGGCGAAAGGCTTGGAAATAAGTGAAGTAGTTGCGGTCGTAGAAGTATTTGATGGCGTTAATCGAACTGCCGATACAGAGAATCATCTCGAACTTGAAGATCCCACGTCGCAGAAAGTTTCTCAAGCCGTAGCATGAGATTTTGATCAAACACTCCAGATTGAAAAGCAAGGTGAAGCCGACCTAAAAAAAATTGCTATCTATATATTTATTTTCTAAAAGAAAACTTTCAAAAGAATTCTTTTCTAAATCTACCTTGCTCTTGTTCTACGTATTTGCCTACCTGCCTATTTGCCCATGGCATCCTGGGTACATTCATTTGGGTTAGGACGCGCGCTCCTGACCGTTGCAATCTCGATTCCCTTAGAACCTTTTTCCCACTTGGTACTTGTATCGCTTCGTGGAGAATTTTCAAATTAGTAGATCCTAACACCGACTTTCTATTAGCCTCGACCATGATTAATAATTCACTGTTTCCTCCAGTAGCAGATACGAAATTGTTATTAAAAATAATAATAACAACCTCGTGTCTGCTCAGCAAGATATACAGTGAATTTTTAAATCACCTTAAACATCCATCACTATGATATGCCAGAAAAAGCAACATGTTGGCTTCTTTGTCGATGGATGGTTACTAATTCTCCATGTGGTACGAAGAGAACCGAAGCCAATGTATCCACTCAAAGAACGAGCACCAGATGTATTAAAATAGTGCATAAGCGACTACTTTTTTTTCAGCCGTACCCGTAATGGTACCTTGTCGTTGGTTCCATCTTCAGTACTGCAGTTCGCTGATTACTTCAGCTGATTGATTTTTTGCAATCTGTACAGACCCAGCTGATTTTATCCGCTAACTGCAACATCCAATCCATAGTTCTGTCGGTGCACCGATGAGTGCGAAAGAACTCACCGATTTGTTGACCGAACATCCATAATACTGTTTATGAATGTGTTCACAATAATTTGTGTTAGAAAACCGTGTGGATGCTTTCTTGTTTTCACTAATTAGCGCCGGTAAGGACGTAGTGGAGTGAACCGGCAAGGAATCTTATAAAGCAAATACATATTCCACCACCTCTACGGGCCTTAGCGCGCAGCGCACCATTAACAATGAACATTGAACGCTTTATCCCCTGCGCCTTTATGTTTTTCTTAACCCACATAAACCTTATAACAAATTGCTGTTTGAAGTCGTACCTCTATAAGGTAGTAATATTGCCTCCTAATTTTGTCCGTTTCGTCGTGCCGATAGACAAACGAGGCATTGATGATAGCGTTCAGAAGCACGAAGACAATTACGAAGCATTGGAACGCCATACTTCGCAAGAACTTAAGAATTGTCTCTACAGAATTGATTATCACCATACTTCGCAAGAACTTAAGAATTATCTCTACAGAATTGATTATCACACTTAATCTTTTCAGTACCTATTATGGGACAATGAGTCATCGAAAACGTCAAGTGAGTGGCTAAACAATGTCGAAAGTTTTTTTCGCTTTGAACTCTTAGCAGCTTTTGTCATACTTAGTGTTATTTTAACATTTTCCACCAAGGCATAAAAACAATAACGACAAGAAGGGTGAAAACGCAAAAATGACAATCCTTGATATTTAAAGTGAACAGACATATAGCAACAAGAATGGCTTAGAGAACCGCGAAACGGAAGACTAACATGGTGTGCTGGGGAACGCGTTAGCCCACGGAAAGGGTAACAGCATGTTCGTTCCCCACCGCAGATAACTGAGGTGCGAAATTTTGCAAATATCTCAGCATCATTGCGGTCGTATCACACACATGATATCTTGAAATTGTAGTAGAGGTAATAGATATAATAGATGTAGTAGATATAATTTAATATCAAAAATTGTAACAGACAGTAAATAAAAAGTTAACATTGTGCAAACATATGCAGACTTTTAGACGAAACTGCCATAAAGTGCATAGTGAAATAAAATGTTTGAAACATCGTTTACCGCTTGCAATGCGTGTTTCGGTCCCTCATAGTTGACATCAGCATCGAGACGGATTAGTCTCCAGCCATCGTCGTACTTTTCTAACTTCTACAATGCAGATTTAAAGTTTCATAAAAAGAGTTTATGCATAGAAAAATCTGCTTCGAAGTGGGGAGAACACCTTCAGAAAAGTCACCTGTCGGAATTCCTCGTCTAACGTCACGTCCTTCTTTTGCCACATTTCGCTGAATTGAACTCGAATCTCGGCGAACGTCTCGGTGATCACGGCGATGAAGACGTTCTGAACGACGTGCTTCAGTGGATGTCGACCAGATCCTTGGCTAACAATAGAACAATGACGGATGCAGTCACTTTCAGTGGGATTAGGGAATTAATTGCTTTGACGATGTCTATTCTCATTTCTCGCCCACAAGAGATGACGACATTACATGGATCGATTTTTGGAATTTGTATAATAAATATACAACTAATATCCTGTATATAACATGTAACTAATATTTTTCTTAAGGCTCTCATAAAAAACCTATTCACTACAAGCCTTTCACTAAGTAGAAGAGATCTAACGGGATTGGACCTTGCATTAAGTCTTTGGAAGTAAAGGAACAAGAATGCTGAGATGTGTGCAAAACTTGGGAACTCAGGTGGGCTTCGAACAGTTTTGCTGATATCTTAGCATCTTTATGGTTGTATTTCACATAGTACATAGTCATGTAGAAAAAGAGGCAATAAATAAAAGTTGAAAAAGAAAAAGATAAAATTTAAACATTTTGTAGAAGGTTTTATCTGGCTTTTTATTCCAGTGAGTGAGGCTGTAGTAACATCTTATAGAAGAGCAGACCAACAGGTGCAGCGCTTCCATAAACCAGCGACCAAACAAAACCAACCGCTTATAAAGTTCATTTATAAGAAATATGTTTAGAATTCTTTAAATAGCCACAAATGTCTAGATATGAAGCTCTTGTAGCTTAAATTTGACGACTATTTTTCTATAGTTGGTCTGCATTCATAACTTACGATGAACAGCTGAGGGGAGAGAGAGCTGATAAAGATAATTTTTTGGGAAGCCTATTCTCCTATTTTACTTTAAACTGATCGATTTTTAAAACATTGAATGAAGTAAGTAGTAGCTCTTCAGTCACTTCTTTTTGGTGCCAACCTTTAATCTTCTGAAGGTTCGATAAGGATCCACCCACATCTGGACCATATATCTAATACATTAATTCACCTCACAATAACAGCTTAACAGCTTAAAAAGATTTCTTTCTGGTATACAGAGACAACTTGATAAAAATACCTTCACCAGCCAAGCGAGAAAGAAGATTAAAGTGAGAAAATAGACGAAGGCGAGATGTGAAGGCAATGAATCCATGCAGTCGTACAGCACATACACCCAGCCCTCTTCAGAAGCAGCCAAATACACCGTGAACACACTTGCACCTATAAAGTTAACAAACACTCAGGCTACTGAGATAAACAATTTAATACAGCATCCGTGTGAAAAATCACCGAAGTCGTTGAACATCCCGTAGAAGCCTTCTGCTTTTGCGTTCAAGTTCAGCCTCATACACACCTGAAGTGTTTTTGTTAAAGCTCCAGCTTATCCGTTAATACTTTAATTCTACTGTCTCAAGCTCTCCAGCAAACAGTAAATAAATATGACAAATTATATCAATTTGTAGAAAAACAAAGACGCTTATGAAACATATATAGCTCAACTTGTCGCTAATGTTTCAGAAATCTGTGGGAGTGCTACACAAGATCAAAGGTTTCTCAAAAAATGTAAAAACTTGTAAGACCTGCCAGCCGTCGAATAGATTGAATGACTTGCTGGATTTCCGATGTGGAAGGCTGAGCCCGGATAAGGAGACCTCACGAGCCTTGTTTCCCCCATTGCACTTCTGAATTGCTTCGTTCCGGCTCGTTCACTGCATATGAGGATGGATTTCTGCTTGAATCTGACATCTTCAAGCCTAGTTCGTTCCTCTAAAAGTTCTATGCAAATAGTGGCCCAAATGAGCTATAAAGGCATCCCCATCTTGCACATGGCCTTCATAGAAGACGAGTCCGTCTTTCGCAGATTCTGCTCTGCTGTTCTTTTCGTTCACCAGTTGCTGACCTTCCTTATTCAGCAAGAAGTTCTGCATTTTGTTCCACACTAACACTCTACCTTATCACGAACGCTGTTGGTCTGTTCCAGTTATAACGGCCTTTGTATTGATTCAGCATGACCAAGTCGGACTATTTCGCAATATATCATCCAAGCGTTCTGTGGGTGGCTCACAACATCCTCATCTAACAATTCGGTAAAGGAACTCTTGACTCGAATAACTACGTATATTAGGTAGCTCCTTTGAAGGCGTCTTAAGACTGTATGTTCTGTTCTTACGCAATTTTCCTTCCTCGCCCAGTATACGCATCAACAACAAAAGTATTAACGTGGTTAATAGTCGTAGGTGATATAAACAGCAAAGACTAGTACTAACAATAGAATTCCATCTGCTGCAACAGAAACCCGTAGAACTTTTGAATTACACGTAAAACGTGACCCCTTTCATCGAGAAACTATACATCTCAACTTGTTCTCTTGCGCACCATGACTTTTCATCAACTGTCTTTTCCTCCGTTTTGCTTATAGTTTTCCTTCTTTCCAGCTTCACTTATTTCTTTGAGCATTGTATCTGTTTCAGTGATAATTCGGAAAAGATGACGTAGTTGGTAAAAAAAAAACGAGTGGCAGGTACTTTTCATCCTCCTATGCGTTTCTTGTCTTCCATTCAATCAAAAGACTTCAGTACCACTCCATTGCAGTACCGAACTGCTTAGATGAAACACTGTCTGTTGCAACTCTCCTCCTATGACAGCCGTGAGGTATCAGTGGAAGAGCTGTATCGCCCTACACGAAAAACTAAGCACTTATTACCAGTGGTCATCAAAGATGGTTCTAATTTGGCTGTTGGAGAATGTTTCCCAGACTTTACTAGAAACTTTTCGGAAGCCAAAGAAAACAAAAGCCCTCTCCAACAACGGATGCTGTGCAAAACAAAAAAAAGCGTGAGCATTGCTTTGAACACTCGCCATTTCTCCAGGACATTCATATCCTCCGCCACCTTTATGTGAGCACATCGTGTCGGGAATTGCCAGATCTGCGATCGTCACGTTATTCGGGTCCGTGTCTAAATAAATGTGAAGTCGGATAGGAAAAGAAAGTTATTGAAAGATGATTGCCTTAAAGAATGAGTTTAGCATGATTATAATGCAAATAATGAACAAAAAATATTTGCTTAAGTGGAATTTGTATAAATCGGTCGTGTTATTATGATGTTTTTCATGAAACATGACAACTGAAGTACTGGTATATACACCCAACAGTGCTGTCTAAACCTCAACGCGTTATGTCCAGTGGAGTCCGAAAATATTTGGGGCTTTCAACGCCGGTAGGAACGTTTGAACTTCTGCACGACAGAAACCAAGAAGCCGAAATGCCACTACATCACAGTTAGTAAAGTATGACGGAGATTCTATCATTCGAATCTGCTGACACGGTTTGATTAGCAACAAGTTAAAAAATTCTTCATTAATCTCCTTAACTAATTTTGATTAGACCTACTCCTTTCAGCTTTTCCTTTCCTTCACTGATCCATTTCAGACAAACGCATTTGGTATCTTACTTTTAAAGCAGAGTTCATATAAAAAGGGTCCAAATAATCCAAATAGTTTCCAGCCTTAATACTTTTGAATTAGTTATTATTGGTTCTATAAAAGGAACTCACTAGGAAGCACACAGTGGTAGTCCATTCTGCCGAATAACTGGATACCTACGATGGCGTATAAGGCCATGAAGAATACGAAGAACACGGTAACATTTTGCACTTGTTGGCTTGACCTCCTACAAAAATAAGTAATACGACACCTCATTGTGCACGGAAGCATTTTGAAAAATTCGGAACCACAAGCCGGTTCCGAGCCCGTGACTACTCTTTCAGCGAGTTCAAGTGTTACCCAGTGCAACGTTGAGGACCTTACTTTGTCATTCTCTGGGCCAGTTTTTACGTTAACAGTGCTGTCAGCAATTACCCTTCAACGGGGATGACCCGCCGGAAGGGGCGATCTCGGGTTCGAAGCTGGTTTTGGTTCCGAGCTTTGCAAACATCTCAGCTTCATTGTGGTTGTGTCTCACAAAATACCCTACCGCGAAAGATAAAAAGCAATAAACAAAAGCCAAACATTTCTGAAAAAAAATCGTTTTTTGAGAGGACTCAAGTAATCAGAAATGCAAGAGCTTCAGGACCATGTTTGATTATATCGCAAATGCTTGTAAAATACTTTGTGCTCTAGTTCCTCTGGTAGAAAATTATCAGTTCCAGCAAAGCTATTCATAACAAAACCTTCACAATCTCCACTGTCTCCAGTGAACAATGGGTTACAATGAAAGTCGGTCCAAATTCAAACGTTCCACTTATTGTACACCGTCTGCCTATCTGCGAATCTCATTTTCTTCATCTAGTTGTAAATTGTTTGCTTAACATAGTTTAATTTGATTTTTTATGAAAACATTCAGCAGGCTACACAGTTATTAAGTAATAGTCTAGTATTAATTCAGCACTAAGCGTATTGAAAGGATTTATTTACTACAACAGATGCCGAGATATTCGCAAAACTTGGACCCCGTGCCAGATCGAACCATGATTACCCTTTCCGGGGACTCGCGTATTACATACTGTGTCACGGAGGCCCTTGTTCTGCGTCTCTCCCAGCTAGTTTTCTACCTAATGGTGCCATCGGCATCCACTCGCCAGCGGGATTTATTTATGATTTCTACTTTTATCCCATGAGAGAATCAAAGAGAAGTATTGAAATTTCAAGCGCAAAGATAAGAAAAATAATTAAAGGAGAAGTGGAATAACAAAGTAAAAGTGAAGTTCACTTCAGTAGCTGCTCGATCCGTGCCTTTGGCAGTTTGAACTTGACGACGAGTTGAATTAATCGAATTATTATGAATGGTCGAACCGAGCGTATGACACCGAACCAATCCTAAAACGAAGGAAAATTCCTGAATATGAAGCCTCAACAGTAATTTCTGCTTTATGCTCTATTAACTACTCCATATTGTTTCTAGAAATATTCTAAGATTCATTTCGCAGCCTCGGATAAGTTTGCGCTATGAGCAGTCTGAACAATGCTCAACGCGAATCATCTGCTTTTATTTGATATTTCTCGATTTCTCGATCTCGATATTTCTCGATCCTAGATTGGTACGATAGATGCTTTAGTGACCTACCTCGTATGGAAGAGAAGTTAGTGAAAAATTGACTCGAACTATTTGGTAAAGGTGCAGAATCCACGACATCCAGTGCGAGACGAACATGAACAGATCGAATTGCATCCATCGATTGTGCATCAACGAGTCTCTCTGAAATGAAGTGAAGTAAGAACGAAATCTCCTGAATAAGTTGAAAATTGTGTTATCATGGCTAAGAGAAGGTCCCACTAGTGCAGTTAGGAAAACATTTATAAATAACGTTTTACTTTATCCTCCCACCGTGGAAAGTTGGGGTGGATGGATATATACTGAAGAGCGAAGCACTGCGGGATTTTATGTTCCGTTTTGGCCACGAAAACTTCACCACCTTCTAAAAATATAAAGTCAAGCCAGGAATAAATTACAGCCAGCATTCGCCAATGGCTAACGGATCGTTATGGAAAAACGGTAATTACAACGGGTCATAGAGGATAACACCATCAATAACAAGGCTTAGCATAAATCTTTTATACTAATTTCTGCGCCACGTAGTCCATTACACTCGCTGAAGGGAGATCACCTATATCACCCATCCTTCCGTTGGTCGCTGAGTTACACAAGTACTGGCCAGCAAAGAATTTGTCTGTCTCCCACCATAGCTTTGCTTTTGGTTGATAAAGATTCGAAGAGATTCGCAATATTCTTCTAAAGTTTTCGAGACAAATCTAACCATCTGCTTAATGGCTTGCTTGCAGTGTTCGAGATAGTGCAACTAAATCGTGGACAAATCTTCTACATCGACTATTATTAAATCATGTGTCCGATTCGCCTAATTCCTATGTTTCTCACAAATATACACTTCTACTATTTGATAGGAGCCTCCCATCAATAAGTGAATACTGGGATGTTCACGTATACGGGCATGATTCTATCCAAACTGGTGTTAAATGATTCTTCATCGACAAGACATCATTTTGATCACCGGAAAGAAGAATCGTTAAGATGAGATGTCCATCTTCTATGATGGTCAAAAAGCGGCGATGTAGAGATTGAAGTAGGATTTGTGAACGACTTGCTCAATTGCTCTTCCAGTATTCCAGTTGGAGACTGGAATGTGAAGTGACATCTTGGTGTCATATATCGGGGATTCACGTGGGAACGCCTTAGCCCGGCTATCCCCAGGATAGGATTGCAATGAGAATTGAATACACCAGAATACCACGACATTCATAACGAAATCCTCAAACAGCAGCTGAAAGAACACGTGAAATGTTCGAAGACCATTATGGATGGTGAATAAGAAGAAATGCCGCACTGTAGATGTTATGACGGGTCGTGTAAAATAGAATAATAAAAAGAATATTGCAGTAGATCTAATCTTCTTTGAGCCAAACTCACAGTAAATCGGTTCATTATCCCTCACATAACGAACGCTGATCAGCGATTCTATTTCCTAAAAGGTTTTTCTACTTACGCATGCAAATTTGCATTAGCCCGATTTCCATCAGCGTGGTTTTGAACCAATCTCACTAATTCATTGTTTTGCTGCAATCCTGGACAAATTAATGCTTCGTAGTCCGATCCTAATGGAATGTAATTGTGCCTGCTTGAAGACAAACAAAAATTACTTGAATGCCTCCACAATACCTAGTCCCTATTCACAGACGATTGTAGAAGAGAGGTGTAGGAGAAATGTGAGAATAAAGGCTTTTCATCTTGTGATTAGGTTTAATTCTATGTTGGCTCCAATTTCCGCCATCAGTTTATTCTAATATGAAATGGTGTAATCATGATCCTCCCAACGATTCACCGCCTCATTGCGGCGGGGAGGTGTTTCTTGGTGTCGGACTGCGATGTACAGCGAGGAAATTCATCCCTCTTGCAAGGTCTCCGAAGATGAGAAGTAGTCCGGTGTTTCCATCAGAAGGCTTAGCTAGTAATAAACCAATGTCAGTGTCCACCACCGTCCTGGTATTCAAAGTAGCATGGTGATCCACAAGGCTGCGACTGCCCGCGGTGGTGAAGAGTTGGGGCAGACTTTGGCCACGCTGACTTCGGGATTCCAGGGAACTACAATGGCTTAAACACCAAATTTCCGAAAAGTGGAGATTATGGCAGGGCTTGCACGAATAGTGAGGACAGGTCGTTCAAGTATCAAGTATCAAGTAAGCAAGTAACCATAATAGGCGATGAACCCACGTTGTCTCTCGTAATTGCACATCCAGCGACTTTGAAGACTTTGTATTATAAATAAATCGTTGCATTTTTAAAAGATGATCCCATACTACATGTTGTGCATATCGTAACAATTCTTTCACTGAATTCGTCACCTCGTACCTGTCGCACACGAAAGCATTCACGACTGATGTGTGTTTGGCTGTTGCTTAACAATTTTTGACTTGATGCTTGATACTTGAATGGTCCGTCCCCACTGGTTGTAAGGGCCCCAGCACAATCTCCACTCCTCGGAAATTTGCTGGTTAAGCCATTATCGCTCCTGGAGTTCCGACGTCAGCCTGGCCAAAGTCTGCCCCAGGTCTTCACCACCATGGCAGTCGCAGCCCTTGTGGATCAGAGGGAGATTTACCACCAAGCGACTTGAATGTCAGAACGGTAGCGGATCCTGGTATTGGTTTAGTCTTAGGTAGGCTTCCTGATAAAAACGCCAAATAATTCTTCGTATTTTTGTTGAGCAAACGCGAGGTGTTATTATTCTTTATTCACGAATGAGCTGACGTTTCGGCGGATTTCGCCTTCCTCAGAGCCTGGAAAGGTCAAGTTGACAGCAATCTACTTGGCCAGACGCCTCCATAACCAAACAAAGAAAAGTTTCTTTCCCGGTAAGGACAACAGCGCGTGTTCGTTCCCCACTGCATACACCTGTGGTCCGGAGTTTTGCAGGTATCTCAGCACTTCATAAAGATGGAAAGTTGAAAAACAGCTTGAAGCAGAAGACAGGCCTGTTCTTTCTCACTAGCTTGTTTCAAAGCGAATGTTCATTGGTTCATTTTGTGTTTCAGAATTGCCTGGAAGTTCTTGACATATCACTAGCCCTTGCGATCTTAGCTGTTGGTTTCATCAATTTCGTGTTTTTATTCCCAAGTTTCCACAAAATTCTCTAGAGTACGAGTTAACACTAACTCCAAAAGTTTTTTTTAATGAGTGGAAGTGCAGGATCACACCAGCAAAGAGCACAAAGAAGATCAACGAAATATTTGTCCCGACCTTAACAAACGAATGCAACAATCGAGCGTCGAGCATGTCGAGTTTAGTAGCTAACCAAATTCGTTGAACGACGAGTGCAGTGAAATGGTTAACGGTCCTCTGCAATACACACTATACCGGTCACCGGTCCGACCAGGTGCCCCAAGCTCATCAAGCCTTTCAACCCTTACGGAACAGCTAACTGGCACGAAACTTATCTGGGTGTAGCAAAACTGACCTAATAAATCGACAGCAGGCCAAGGCCACGCAAGTCATCATATGGGCTTGATATGCATCCGATAACCCTTAAGATGTTATGAATGAGGTCAAATGCGTCACGTATCCGTAGGGTGCAATCCAGAGATTGTTCAACGCCAAGCGCTTTATCCTTTGGAACATATATGGATTTTGCTACAATTCGTTCATAAAAAGATGTTGCTAAAAATTGACAGAACGAAGGAAATTTATTGTAGTAAAAAGGCAGTGCGAAAGAACAGAACGATCAGACAATGCGTTAGAAGGAGATGAACCAACAAACATCCACTTTGTGACAATGCAGTTAAAAAACTCGCCTCCCAGAATTCATCTAAATGTGAAGAAGGCGACAGATCCTAGAGCCGCCGTCAAATCCACACATCAACCGCACTGCTTCTGACAATGATATGTCGAATCAAATGGAGGAGTTGCTGGGTCCAGCAAGATGTGAGAACGGGTTATCAAGGCACCCGCGTGTACCACATGCAACCTGTACTTCTTCTCTGTTAATTACCGAATAACTCGTATTGATCCAAATGAACTTTGTTTCCACCGTCTACTGTTCTCATTACGCTTTGCTCGTTCAATCAGGGATCAGAACATGATCATTTCTTGGGAATGACTTTTTCATCCGTTTTAAGTGAGAATGGAGTTTGCTCTGCTCCACCTTTACTCTTGGGTGTAATTCTAGATGGAGGTATCTAACATCTTCTCCACTAAGTTGCACTGATGAAGAGATAACTATTAGCTAAAGATTGTTTTCTAATATTTATCAATACATCCCAGAAAGTGAAGTGGTAAGCCAGTGGGAGAACTAAGTACATTATAGAACAATAATGCAAATGCTGCAATGTTATCGTTTTCTGTGCTGCGATGTTGTTTCCTATGGATCGAGATTCTCCGTACCACTCACCATGTTCGTTCCTTCGCGATGAATCCTCAGAACGACCTCCAAGGTGAGCAGAAGCACAGAGACCATGTCCAGGAAGCACACGAGGTAGCCGAGCGGCCACCATAGTTCGAACGTGCGCGGCGTGTGCAGACAGACGGTGATCAGCGAGATCGTGCACGCCACCTTCAGCGCCAGCTCGACCCGTTCGCTTTCCACGTAGTCTGAATGCCAGTTATATTACCTTTAAATCGCATCAAACTCTCGGTAGCGTGCTATGAGATCTAGACTCTCTTCGTATTTTTCAGAGCGTCGATAAAATCCTTAAACTCTGCTACAAAATTTTCCAGATTTCAAAACATTAGCTCTACACGTTGACAAACTAGTGCTAACCTAAAATCTGCTTTCATAAATCTGTCACAAATCTATTATATGATTGGATTAACTGCTAATATATTTCATGGTACAGTTGCAGGTGAGCGCGAGAGTAGCACTTGTTAAAGTTGCCTATCAATACACTCAGAGTCTCTGATTTGACTCAGTATTTCGGACTAAGCAAGCCTTTCGACAATTAGACTTGTTTGGAGGATAAAAATGGCGACTTGATGCATAAGTCGTAAACCAAAAATCACTTGAGGGGCCTGATATGAACTTAATCACCCATACTGATCATGGTTTTCGAGGGGCATATATTGATTGCACAAATAATAAAAAAGGAAAGAGTGCAAAAGGATGAAATTGTAAGGAAGGTTGAAAATTAAGGGAAAAAATTACGATGAACACAGGTATTGAAGAGGGAGAAAATCAATGATTAACCGCTTTTGGAAGACTTTTTGACTTAGAAAGTTTTTTTCTTTTGTGCCAGGAAAAATGAGGATTTTTCCTGAGTTTAAGTCTGCCAAGGAAAATGAGAAATTCTTTCCTAGTTTTAGGTCATCATGGGTAACATATGAGCAAGACCGACCAGATGTTGTGCAGATATTGTGAGGGAAGAGAGAAGAGGAGCAGTTGCACCTCCCTCAGATTCCACACTTAACGCATTGCGCTCGAAATGAGTTTTGTAGGACTCACAAATCGCTCGAGCGTTTTCCAAAGCCGCAGACTATGGAAAAACAATTTTAAAAAGGCCATCGTAAATATGTTAGACTCATTCGTATTGCTATCGTTTTTTCAAAATCGAAAACGTGCAGTTGTAGATGATGCCAATAAGGTGAATTCATTGATTTATTGTTTTAACTCCTCATGCAACTCATTTCGCAGCCTTTTTTGAAGTGGAATCGAGGCGTCGTTCGTGTTGGCGACTCACTTTAATTCTTTGCCTTAATTCTCACATGACCTTACTTCTGTTGGCCAAAAACTCAGGAACTGAGACTCTATAAGCTCCAGAAACTTCACCTGTTTCACCTGAAGTCCCGTTGATCGTCGAGTGAGTGGAGCGGGCGCCAGTAAATCTTCTCTTTTTCCCTGTCACCTGCAAGAGTAGCCCAGTGAGTTCTGCTCGCTCTGGAGATTCGTCGAGCATCATATCTTTCCTCAAGGCTGTTTGTGAAGAACTCTGACCACCAGGTCAGTGGTCTTCCTGCAGTACGTTTGACATCTCCAGGAATCCAGTCACTAACGGCTCCTGTCCATCGGTTGTCATTCATACGCATTACGTGTCCGGTGCACCTTATCTTCGACTGTTTGACGTACAGAACGGCATCTTTGATTTTTGATCGCTGACACAGATCGGAGCTTCGGATCCTATCCCTCACTTGTGTGGAACGGGATACTCCTAGCATCGTCCTTTCGACTGCGCGTTCAATAACGCTAAGTGACCTTTCATCCTGTTTACGCAGCGACCAGGTTTCTGACGCATACGTTAGGGCGGGAAGTACCGTTGAGTCGAAAAGGTGGGCACGTAGGCGGGTGTTCTTTGTTCTCTTCACTACATCCTCTATGCTGTTGAAAGCTCCTCAAGCCGTTCGCTTCCTCCTGCTCAACTCTGGAGTTAAGTCTTTCATCATTTGGTTTCCCGACCTATATAAACGTAGCTGGAGCATTCGGAGCTATTCGCATATTTGAGCGTGAATACGGCAATCTGTTCTCCATGAACATCATTTTTGTGAGATTTAGTCGAAGACCAATCCTTCCACAGGCTTCATCAAAGTCGGCAAGCAAACGTTCAGCTTGGCTAATGTTTGGTGTTACAAGGACAATGTCATCAGCTAAGCGAAGATGGTATAACTGCCGACCATCGATTTTCACTTCCATATTACCCCATTCCAATGTTCACATGACGTTGTGGAGGGTGGTGGTAAATAATTTTGGCGAGATGGTACCGTCTTGCCTAACTCCTCTTTTGACGTCAATGTTAATAACGCTGTAGAATGGTGATACATTGGTTGTGAAATTTTTGTACAGCTCATGAAGAATATTTTTGTGCTGAGTAGAGACACCCTGACTATCAAGGGCGTCCAAAACTGCTTCTACCTCAACTGAATCAAAGGCTATCTGTAAATCGACGAAAGTGAGACAGAGCGGTTTTTTGTACCTTCGCGATACTTCAATGAGTTTTGTTATCGCGTGGATGTGGTCCATCATACTACATTCTTTTCGAAATCCTGCTTGCTCACATGGCTGCACTTCGTCTAGTGTTCAGTCAATTCTGCTTAGGATGACTCGAATGAAAAGCTTGCAGACGACAGACAGCGAGCAGACTGAACGATAGTATCGTGTAGGTCACCCTTCTTGAACAATAACACAGTCTTGCTGGTCTTCCACTGTGCAGGGACCTTGCATTCAGAGAGGTAGCATGTGAAGAGCCGAGCCATTGTGTATACGGGGACTGGCGGAAGGTTCTTCAGGTGTTCTGGTCATATCCTGTCCAGACCCGGTGCTGTGCGATTTTTCACCTACGAAATGCATGTCGGATTTCAGAGGGGAGAACTGATGGTGCAACATATCCATCCTCCTTTATTTTATATGACGGAAGGTGGACGTGGCTATCGAAGAGATTCGAGTGGTATTCGTGAATGATTTTCTCCATTGCCTTTCTGGACGCTGTAACCGTTCCGTCTGGGCGCCGAAGTGGAATCATTTTGGTCTTGTAATTGGCGAAGCTTCGGTGTGCCTTGCAAATGCTTTTCCCGGCCTATGCATGTTTGACGAATACTGCTTCTCTTCTTTTTTCAAGACCTTCTTTTATCGCCTGTCAGCATTGTTTTGCAAGTTCGGACGTTAGTTCGCGATCGCCTGCAGCTCGTGCGATGTGAGTTCGAGTGTGTTCGGCGTGTGAGTTCGAGTGTTTCTGGAGATAGACATCTCTTGGTGACTTTCGAACTCTCGGCTTTCATTGCGCCAACGTGAAGATGTTGAATGAACCGATCGTATTCTTCGTCGATGTTATCGACAACGGCATCTTCCCAACAGCAGACTAGTGAATTGAACAAGTGTTTGTGGTGGTTCTGGGACTTCAGTTTTGGAATTTAGCAGCTTTTTTTCTTTCCACGAGAAATAGAATCTTGCACGAAAGAGACGACGGTCTAATCCCGTGTAGAATTTTGGGACAACAGCGACATCGATTAGGCAAAACCTTCTATTTACTATGATGTGGTCTATTTCGTTATAGTACTCTCCATTGGGAGACTCCCACGTCCAGCGCTGAGGGTGCGGCTTTTGGAATTGCGAGTTACCATGGATTGCCTTGGTCGTCATAATAAACTCAGACAGCCGCTCATCCTGTTCGTCCCATTTTAATACGTGGGTCCTAATGTGACATTCTTCAGATGTTCTTCTTGGTCCAATCATGGTGTTGAAATCTCCAATGATGTATTTATTTATGTGATCTTATAAACTGATCTTCTTATGCTGACGCGAGGTTGGTACAGATCTTCGTTGTCGTTGTCGTTGTTTTTGATGTTATTGATCGATGGCTGACGTTTCGGCGACTTCGCCTTCCTCAGAGCCTGGACGTACTTTATGTTAGAATACTTTTTATTATTCGGTGGAAAAGAAGGTTAAAGTATTAATGAAGATCAAACTTTCAAATAGACGCCATATTGAACAGAAGGGCCACTCACCGTAATGTTACGTGTGGAACTGGCTCACGCGTTGTTTTCGTGGGGTCGCGAACAAGACACGCCCCGGGGTCAAAATATCATTTTCAAAAAGAGGGCGCCAGGTCACGCGTGGTAGTGAGGAATTCGTCCTTCTGGTTCATCTTTGGATTTTTGAAATTTATCCAAAACGCCTCAAGAGTTTTGCGCGTTGATGTTTTCGATTCTTGCGCTAGGATCCGCACAGTCACTTCAAAATCATCGCCGTTGTGCTTTTGTGCCCTATGCGTACC